CAAAAAAATTATCTTTTTATTGACAATAGAATTTTACTTATAGCAATACACCACATATTATAATTAATATGAATATCCAATTAATAATAGAATTTTAAACCTATACGAATAACCACGTAATTATAATTATAAATATGGTCATGTATCATTAATTCTGTTTTTAGTCTACCATTGATTTACCATTAAAGCTTTTGAATCGGGTATTCTTCATATTCGGTTGTAATATTTTGTGTATGTTCGTGATTTTGATAATGAAATTAAAGAAGTCAAAAACTACTAAAACCAAGACACAACAAAAACTTTACAATAAAAGGAAATCTTGAAGTGAATTCAGATCAATGTTAGCAAGGTCTTAAAATAATAAAAGGGAATCTTAAAGTGAATTCAAATCAAGATTTGAAGTGAATTCAAATCAATTCAGATCAATCTTGAAGTGAATTTAGATCAACTTAAAAAGCGTTTCAATAATTTTTTTTATTTTTTTTAACAGGAATATAATAACAAACGTGAAAAAAAAATAATAGGTAGTGTTCTTATTCTCTTTTTGTATCTAACATTTATAAAAAAAAAATGTAAATACTAATACTAATAATAATTATAAATACAAAACATGCCCACAAATAAGTTATTCTCTAAAATGGGTACCCGGGGCAACGCCTGGGGCACATACTAGTATATATATACAAAGGGGAGTTTTTTCACCAGTTTTTAGAGAGTCACGTTGGATTAAATTTTCTTAACGCGTCATGTAGGATAATAAATTTTAGTTATAGCCAATTAAATAAAAGATTTATAATTTCTTTTAGAATTAAATAATTCATATGCCATAAAAGAAAAATTGGCGAATGAGATTTTAAAGTTTAAATTAATTAAAATAAAATATTATCTTTTGAGATTAGGAATTTTATCTAAATATATAACGAATGAGAAGATATTTACAATTTTATTTTAAAATAAAAATATTAAATAATATACTACGTACAACGAATAAAATAATCAGAATCATTTGTTTTAAAAAATAAAAAAAATCGTGCATCGCACGGGCTTCATCTAGTAATAATCTAATACCTTACATTAATAATCTAATATCAAAGAATAATAATCTAATACCAAACAATAATAATGTAATATTTGACCTTAATATTTTTTCCAATAATATTAATAATCGAGCAACTTGCCCAATAATATTTTTTCCAATTCACGCCGCCTCTCGCCTCCGCCTCTCACCCTGTCTTTCTCTCTCCTCATCCTCTTGTTCCTAATCATCTTCTTCTTCCTCATCATCGCTCGCCTTCAACGACACGACATCTTCGCTTCTTCTAGATCACTCTCGTACTCCATCTCTTCATCAATCTCCTTCTCCCGTCATCTTCTCAATTCTAAAACCCTAACAATTTCCTCCTCCTTTTCGGACCAGATCAATGAAATTTGTGATGAATTTCTCCCAAAATAGAAACAAGAGAGAGATAATGAAAGTTCCGAGGGTAAATTTGATGGGCAAGGTGCGCGAAACGGCCCAAAAGTCAAGGATAAAGAAGCAACAACATTGTTCTCAAGTCCGGACTCACGATGAGTCTGTTCTACACAAAAGTTTTGCATTTAATTAAGGTTTAATTAATTAATTTTGTTTTATACATTATTCCTTTTGTCAATTATATAGAACCAACCAGTACACAAACTCTTCCAAGTATCAACTAACCATTAATCCTTTAGCATTAATAATCTTATGGTAACAAACAAAAATGGCCGATCGCTTAATTGGGTACGCGAAGTCTTTTTTTTTTTTTTTTTGTATAGAAATAACACAAAATGTGTGCGACTTGCCACACTATGTGACCGCTTGTAAAAAAACAAAGTAATCCCTATAACATTCACCGAATAACTCCTATAATATTGGCTAAGACTCTTATAACAACACTGATGAAGTGACCCCTGTAACACTGACCGAGTTACCACTATAATACTAACGAAATAACCTCCGTAATGGCTAGTTACACGGTGTGGCCAGTTACCTATAAAAATTTGTGCATTTTTAGCGAGTAACTTTTATTTAGTGGGAATATTGCGTATATATTTTGTAAAAGGTTTTGCATTTCTTTAATTTGTTATATTGTCGAATTTTAGCATACAGTTCTTCCCATTTAAATAAACTGAATTACATATTTATTCCATATTTATTTAGATTATAAATTTATAGAGGGTTGTAACTTATTCTTTATTTTTCCTCTATTGATTTACTTTGAACATTTTCTCATTATTGGTTATTTGCTAGCTTAAGAGAATTGGCAAGGCCTTAAAAGTCATTGGCAGGGAACAACAGAAAACATTTTCCTTCTTCTTTATCTGTCTGCTTTTGCTGTGTACTCGCCTACTCGGCAACTAGCTGCTGCGCAGTAATTGATCACTTAAATACTTAATTATTCCTTTCTAGCTATTTAAAAACACTTTACTCAATTTTATTATTGTATTAATTAAATTTCTCTTTATATAATTTCGAACTGTATTTAATAAAGGATATACTGTATCATTTTCTAAATTAACGGGTGCAATTAGCTAGTAGAGTATTCCGTACAATTTAATTCAGCAGCCTTCAATCAAATCATCATATCCAATCATTAAATATCTCCTCCATTTTATTTTATTTGATCTAGTTCGATTAGAGCTGACAAAAAGTTGTATCGTGTTGTGTTCGTATTTAGTCTCGTGTCAATTTCGTGTTGTTCATAAAATCTATCAAAAACTATATAAAATACAAGATAATTGCATAATTTGACTATTTTATCTAAACGGGTCGTGTTCAGGTTGATTTCGTGTGGTATCGACTTCATGTTCGTGTCGTGCCGATTTTGGTCGTGTTATATCGTGTCGTGTTAAAGATTGATTGTCAGCTCTAAGTTCGATATTTGTATACCATATATACTATTCAATTTTCTCTCATACCATATCATTAACTTTTTATTTTTTAATTTATACGTTAAAAAAATACAGATAAGACGTTATGCAGAATCTTGTTAATTTTATCTCACGAAATACAATTCTAGACCCTAACCTATATTGATATAGAATTATAATACATTGAAGTATGTTTTAGTTGTTTTTAGTGACGCACAACTGCACAAGTAGTACCAAGCTTACCTCCTCCATCCACAAAAAACTGATTCATTATCTTTGTTACGGAGTACTATTTTATGAGTAGTCGATCTTTAATTGCTAGATACTTTATCCCACGAGTACTATATTATATGTATGGGGCTAATGGGGGTAATAAAAAAGATAGATTGGGGGAAAAAAAAAATAGAAAACCATACACTTCGTATCTTATACGATGATTTGTTGAGATAAAGTAGGTGGATTAATTATTCGTTGGTGAGTTGCTCTCATAAAATTAAAAGAAAGAAAAGAGGTGAAACATTCATATGGAATTAAACTAATACTATAACTCACAAATTGACAATCTCACATAGTCACATGGCTTTAGATAAAAAGGGCATATTGTTGCATACAACATACTTGCATGCAGTAGCAGGTGGGGGGAATACGTGCGATGACATTCTTCATAACTTGATAACTACTCAATTGTATACAGTACATAATTACATTCCTCAACGTACTCTTCACTCCATGTAAATAGTGATCGAGGTGTTAAAATTTGACTTATATGGACTCAATAATTTAGAATAATTTGACTTTGAAATACATCAGATTCGATTTTATTTATTCAAATCTGATCCATGTACCTGAATTGATACCTCTTTATCATTGAAAGAGATATGACAAAATCAATTTCATTGAGGTAATTTTATAGATTGTCATTAACATTATGATTTAAAGTGGGGTATTAATTTCTGGTGTATGATGTATTTAAATAATAAAATTAATCTCTAAATTGGTATTCAATCATCACGTCATGTGATTTTTGCACCGATCTAGTTTGGCCTTTCTCTTTTCATTGACTTCACTGTCATGTATCGATAGGCTTTCAATTCATTTAACGAAATTTTGTCATCTTTTCAATTAGTTAAAAAAATTTCTAACTAGTATGTTGTTGATGTATTAGTAATTTACTAGTGGCATATACAAGTAGTTTATTGAGAGGACTAAGGAGTAGAGCTTGCAAAAAATCATGCCATATCGTGTTTGTGTTTAGTGTCATGTCTATTTCGTGTTGTTCATAAAGTTTATCAAAATTTATGTAAAATGTAAGATAATTGTACAGTCAAATCACTTTATCTAAATGGGTCGTGTTCGGGTTGATTTCGTGTCATGTCAAATTCGTGTTTTTTCGTGTCGTGCCGATTTCGGTGAGAGATTGTTAGCTCTACTAAGGAGGATACAATTTATACAAATTAGAAAACCATTCTCTAAGTAAAAGTGACGAGACTTCCATCAAATGAAATATAATGAATAATGATCTAGTGGAAGGAGCATTAATATTTTTTTGTGGTAACAATTGGGCCATAAGGTCCATAACCACGTACGAAACAATCGTTTTCAATATAAATTGAAAGCCAATTTGATTTAGTAATTCAACCTATCATTGTTTGGGCTATAGATTAATAAATTACGGATTACACTGTAGTAGATGTGCATTTATGATACTCTAATGAAATAATTAATAAGTATAAAAATTCCTTATATTCACTCATGTGTGATGTACTGATGTGTACCCATGGTTAAAATAGGGGAAACAACATACGGATTACAAAGTATATTCACAGACTCGCAGTAGAAAAAAATGCATTGGTGACGATAATTAATGGAGAAAAGAAGGGGTTGGTAAGGATAATTGAATAATAGTTTTCTTTTCCATGCTTTTTGCATTTATATTACGAAGTATAAAATTTCAAAAATTAAATAAAAAAAATTATTAATATACAAAGTACACATATTTTGTAACAATCCTAAACCTACTCCTTCACTTGATCTAACAAAAATCAACTTTGACCACCTTCTTATAAGATGATTGTATAAAACAGTATTATAACAATGAGTGTGTTAAAATCAATTTCAAATTCCGTAATTAATTATTAGTGTGCCAAAAATCATTCCCATGATTCAACATTCCCAGTTGACAATTCTGCACTTTTAAAAAAGTCCAAATTTTGACCTTCAAACTTTTTATTTTTTTTATTTTTTTTATTTTTTTATTTAAACTCTGCATTTCTTTAATATTTTTTAATGGAGTATAAAAGTTAGTTCCACCAATTCCAGATTAAACATTCATAAAACATAAACCATGGCATTAACACTAATCTTCACCATCTTCCTTTCAACAACCAAAGCAGAAAACAACAAACTATTTAGAGAATACATAGGAGCAGAATTCACTAATGTCAAATTTTCAGATGTACCCATTAACCCAGATCTTCAATTCGATTTCATTCTTTCTTTTGCAATCGATTACACAAATTCAGCTTCTTCCCCAACTCCCACAAATGGCAAATTCAACGTCTTTTGGGACACTAAAAATCTCTCTCCTACCAAAGTTTCCTCCATCAAAAGCAAGCACCCAAATGTCAGAGTTGGGTTAAGCTTAGGAGGTGACAGTATCTTCAACAACCCAGCTTATTTCCAGCCAAAATCAATCAATTCCTGGGTTTCAAACGCTGTTTCTTCATTGACGCATATCATCGAACACTTTAAGCTCGATGGTATCGACATCGATTATGAGCATTTCAAAGGCGATCCTGAGATGTTTGCTGAATGTATTGGACAATTGATATCGATACTTAAACGAAAAGGGTTGGTGAAATATGCATCGATTGCTCCATTTGATGATCAAGATGTACAAAATCACTACCAAACTTTGTGGAAGAAATATGGGCATGTTATAGACTATGTTAATTTCCAGTTTTATGCGTATGATAATAGCACAACAATTCCAAAGTTTATTGATTATTTTGAGCAACAAATGGAGAATTATAAAGGGGGTAAGATTTTAACAAGTTTTATTAGTGATGGAAGCAAAGGATTAGCTCCTACAAAAGGGTTTTTCTCAGCTTGTGAAATGCTCAAGAAAAGGCAACAACTTTTTGGGATTTTTGTTTGGTGTGCTGATGAATCAAAGAATTTGGGTTTTCGATATGAGAAACAGGGTCAAAATTTGCTAGCTTCTCTTTGATTTCATTATAATTTTCATTTGATTAACTTTTGAATGATCATGGTAATTAAATATAGTGTACTTACCATTTTCGAAGAGTGACTAAGTAGTTAGTAAGTCATTAGTATGTGTTATGTACGTGTGTTTAAGTTATTTCTACTTTTCTATGTCGTCAATGTATAAGCAATTAACTGTTAGTCGCTCAATACTCAATGTTTCTCCTCTCTATTTATTGAAACATATATTGGTCAATGAAATTTGGATGTTTCTTTTAATTTGTGTATTTTAGAGAGTATATTGATTGTTCTAAGTAAAGTCTAAACTCCTACTTTAGCGTGCATACATAAGTATATACGAAGTATATTTGTAAATTAATTAAAATTAAAAATATAAGGAGAGAGTGGATCATATTAATGAACATACTAATAAGAAGAAAACAAGTACAAGTTTATTATTAAAGGGTATGGTGCTACAAGCCTATAAGAACTAAATTGGCACTATAAAGAAAATACAGATGAATGTTGGCAACAATCTAGACATTCCTCTAACAAACTTTAAGTCTTTAATAACCAGTGAAAGTACTTATTTGCGTCACTTTTAATCGTGTAATTAGAGAAGCTAATACTGTAAGCTAAGGCAAATGATGGAACCCCATTTAAATTCAGTTTGTGGGCTGGATTCCCATTGGGCCTTATTTATGGATACTTACATTGCAAGACTTTCAATTAACCTGGCCCACCTCCTTCTATCGTCAAGTTATCGTTATTACTTTTTTTTTTTTTTATGTGGTCATTGAACAATGCTAAACTACAGAAATATTCTCTGATTTTTATCTTGATTTTTCATTAAGGCTCCGTTTAGTTTCATATAAAACATTTTCAATGTAATATAATTTTTCATGAATAACACTCTTGCGAAATTAGTTTCCTTTCATTGGTTCTATGTAAGATAAGTTATGCGTGGAGAAAGGATAATGAAAGGGACGGGATTAAGAGAGAGGATTTATGAGAGGAAATTAAAGGGAGACGGGGAGGAGGGAGGAAATGTGGTTTCCCTTCCTTTAAAAGGAAAATATTTTACACCCCTTTACAAACCAAACAAAGAAAAATAAGAAGAACCGAGTAAAATCATTTTCATGGAATGAAACATTTTTCACCTAACCATACACATCCTAAATCTTAAAATCATAATGTTATTTTGGTTAATGTTTCTTAAGTGAGGATAAACTAGAATTTTAAGTGGGGTGAGGAAGGATGTGAAGGAGTGTAAAATTATCAACCGACACGGCTGGCTAATTCAACACCATACTTCGTATAAGAAAATTCAAGGATAAAAAAATAAAATCTATTAACTATTACTAAAACAAAATGTTGCTGACGTCATCACTGTCCATATGTCACTTACATAATAAATTTTTTCCCGCCTAAATGCAAGGATGATGTCATATGTAATAATTTTGAAATTTGAATATTAGAAGTTTCTACATCAAAGCTACGACCTATCGATTTATCTTTAAAAAATGGAGTAAAGGTAAAATACAGTCCCTAAACTTTTGTATTTGTGCACTTTTAGTCCCTGTCAACTTTTTTGTGCACTTTTGGTCCCTCAACCACCACTTTTGGTATTTCTGACCAAATAGTTTAGGGACCTAACCTAGTCAGCATAGTTTAGGGACTATGACTCATTTTTTTTTGTTTTTCTTTTTTTTTTTCTTCAATAATTTTATTTAAAAATAATCATCCCAAAAAATCACAAAGGAATTCCACCCCAACTCAACTCATCAATGGCTTCTCCTTACGAATTATGATCCCTTCAAACAGTAAGCTTCTCATCTCCCTTCAAACAGTAAGCTACTTAATTTCTGATTTTGGGTTTTTTTATTTTCCTAATTGTATAAAAAAGGAAGCCAATTCAGCAGCAACAACAAAAGAAAAAAGGGCCCAATTTCTTACTCATGCTCACTCTTATCTACGCTCATGTTCTTCCTCTCAGTAATTTCCTCTTATTTCTTCTAGTTTTTGTTAATTTTTCTGGGTTTTTGTTCATCTTAATTTTGGTTTATTTATTGATTTTGATTTCTGGGTGCAGTTTGAGGCATAAACCTATTATTAGGGATCGACTCCGCCGCAACCACCTCTGTCTTATCCACCATTGGCGCCACCTCTGGACCCACTTCACTCACCTCTCTTTCCCACCCCCATTAATCTCATACTTTCCCAGATTTCTTCCCCCAAAATTCATAATACGACTGTTTTCCCCAAATTTTGTCAAATTTAGACAACTTCTCCAAAATTCCAATTATTTTGTCCAAAAAAAAATCGGGCTTTTCCCAAACGTTTTGACATTTTCATCCCCAAAAATCCAACTACATTACTCCCAAAAATTCAACATTAGCTGCTTTAAAAAAAAAAAAAAAAACGTCTTTGGTGTTGCTACCGTAGAGCAACGAAATTCAGAAAAGTGAAATTTTTTTTAGAGCTTTAATCATCTATGTTTCTTGATATTTAATCTGATTTTTTGTTGTAAAAAAATTAATTTTGGAAGAGAAAAGAAAAAGAAATTAGGGTTTAAAGAGGGGAAGGAAAAAACCAGTATTGAGGAGAGAGAAAGATAATGGAGTAGCTTGCTCTCTAAACTAATAAAAATTAAAGTTTTTTTTAATAAATTGTGACAAAAAAAAAAAAAAAACAAAACAAAAAAAAATGGGTCATAGTCCATAAACTATGCTGACTAGGCTAGGTCCCTAAACTATTTGGTTAGAAACACCAAGAGTGGTGGTTGAGAGACCAAAAGTGCACAAAAAAGTTGTCAGGGACTAAAAGTGCACAAATACAAAAGTTTAGGGACTGTATTTTACCTTTACTCTTAAAAAATGAAACAAATGTAGATAGCACACTAATAAATGGACTCCTACATTGAAATATGTATTAGGCGACGTTGAACAGGTATTAAAACATAATTTTGATGAAAATCTAAAACTATAAAATTACAAATATTTTTGTACAAGGTGCACAATTATTTTTTATATTTATCCATTTTTTTTAAATGTACAAATTATAAAAATAGATTTTATATAAATCGTGTATTGCATGGGTTCTAACCTAGTTTCAATTACCGTATTTGGCATTATTTAGGTTTATTTATTTATTTTTTTTTTAGTGGGCATACATCCTTAATTCCTTATTCTCTCCACCTATTATCTATCGAAACTTATTTTTTATATTGAAGTTAAACTTTTTTTTTTTTTATTGAGTATAAACTATCTTTGTAAGGTGAAAAATGGTCATAATCTTATTGTGTATTGAATAAGACAACAAGAGTAAAGGTGATAAATCATTAGGTGTAAGGTGCCTAATTTAGATTTTATTTAGTTTAACTTTTCAATAGAATCTTAACTTGGAAGGAGAAAGTGGAATTTGACACCCTTTTGCCAATAAATCACACGAATTAAGATCAATGCCTTTTTGTGTTTTACTTGTTACTCTTTGTTTACTAAGGTAATAAATGACTGTCCTTTTCTTATCATGGTAGTCTTTTGTTGCTATGATTTGAGGGCATGAAGTATTCAAGATAGAGATCAATATGTTGAAAGCAAAAAGGTTGCGTCGAATAATTCAATAGTAAGTCACACATATCTTTGCTCCATGATTTGATAGTTCATCTTCATCCATCTAAACCAAAACGTACATCTTCAATGCACATTTTATGTCATATGAAATGAAATGTTTCGCCATCGAAACAAAGTTGATGAGAATAGAACCTTCTATGATTGAAAAAGAAAGATAAGAGATTCATTAGCTAGTGTTTTATCACCAAATAATCCTTAATTTATGATATTATTTTTGTTTTTAAGTGTGGGTCACCATGAGACTGTATAAGAGAGCACGTTGAATCTATTTGACTATTTTTTAGTTACTTAAATAAACAAGGATATATAGTTTTTTTAAAAAAATTACTCGGTAGTAGTTTTCTTACTTACCCTCATGTTCTTTTTTTTTTTTTTTTTTTTTTTTTTTTTGTTTTTTTAACAAAAATTAATAAATTTAGTTCTAGCAACTTTATTTTGATTGAGGTGACATATTATTATTTTTTTTTCTTTTTTTTTATTCTCCATTGTATTGAAATTTGTCAAAGTCAGAAACTAACCAAAGTCTTTCATTTTATACATTGTTATAATGTTGTCACATTATGAAAAAAATATAAAGGCAAGTAAGCAACAAAAGGTCAAAGCATTCAATCTGTAAAACGGAGTAAAATGAAAGGTCAAAGCAATTACAATTCTTCAAAAAGAATCACAAATTTACTCAATTTAAAAGTTTGTCTTTTCATTTTGGGGCGTTGACTTGGATGCTTAAATCCACCGGCCTATGGTGTTTGACTCTTTTTTCCATCTTCCTAAATACAAGTAAGATTGTTACTGCATATTTTTGTTTGGCCTTTGGATCTTGTTAATTGATATCCTCGGATGCTATCTCAATCTTTAATCTTAAACCTACCCGACTAATCAACTATTTACTTCCTTTGTTCAGTAAATTTGCAACAATTTAATTTTTACACAATTTATATACGAGTAGTAGCTTTGATCATATATACTTGTACTTCTCTAATATATGTAATACTACTACGCATTTAAGTTATATACATATACATTGTGTATGACTACATCACTAATCCTTGCGACTTTCATTTTCTTACTTTGTAATAAAGCTTAAAGATTCGCTATATAACCAACCGATGGAAAATGAAGATACGAGTAAAAGATAGGATCATCACTTTGGGACTTCCTATATTATTACAGACCTAAAAATGAATTGGGACATATTTGACAAATAGATTTTGCAAATCCAGAGTACTGTTATTGCTGTTACAAAGCCATAATGCACAACAGTGTCTGTGTTTGGGATTTTTTCACATTGCCTAATTGCTGAATTTTCAAGGCTTGAAGCTCAGATGACCATTTATACAAATTATGCATTGACTTATCCTAAAAGATCCGTAAATCAATGCATTATTATTGTGGCTTCAATTTCTTGTTGTTATTACTCTTACTATTTGTCTTTTCTACTCCAGTTATTACTTGAAAACACTATGAAATACAACTTATTCCATAGTAGTTAGCACAATAGTACATAGTGGATTTTCTTTTGTGTTGGAATTTAAATGAATACACAATTTAGAAGAAATAGCGTTCATTCTCACTACAATATACTTCGTATGTCTGTATAACTATAACATACACATAATGATTTATTCTGTTAGGGTATAATTGTATAGT